TTGATTTTAAATTTCACTTTCGGTGAACTTTTCAAGCGTTGTATTTGACGAACTCCTCCTAGGAATTTATCGGATATGCTTCAAAATTTGTGAGTACACTCAAAAAATGGTCCTGGATTAAAAGTTGTGCCATTTGTGCATGTACGTTGAAGGGCGTGTCCGTGGCGTGCCCCTCAAAGTTGGCCATAGTGAATTCAGTGCGCATTTTCGGTGATTTTTCGCTCTTGTATTTCAACGAACTCCTCCTACAAAATTTATCGGATCTGCTTCAAATTTAATCAGCGCAATCTAAAGACATTCATGATTAAAGTTGTGCTATTTAATTTATTCCGTCAAACGGCGTAATCTGCGGGCGTTGCGCTGGAATTTCCACCATTCACCATAAACAGATAGTACTCAACTTCAGTGTACAGTCCCACCCTGAACACGCTCCTCATAACTTCAGCGTACATGATCCAATCTCAATGAAACTTCACGGTTTGATAACAGCCCGCCTCCTGAACTTGTCTACATGACAATATTAAGACAAAGTGATAGCGCCACCTTCCGGCAATAGGTAAGCGCCATGGCGATTTTGAGCTGATTTACGTGACATTTTCATGTTGTGGTCCCCAAGTGTTACGACGCCTCACGACGCGGCCGCAGCACGCCCGAGTTGGGTGGGGGTGCCATGGGTCCCGCTCAACGCTGCTTGCAGCTTTAATTATTATTATTATTTTAGGACCCTTTGACTGCATTTTTACCCCCTGAACATATACGAAAAAGTCAATTTTATTTGGCAAAGTTGTCAGGCCTGGTGAAAATGCGGAGTTTACATGTGTCAATTTAGGGTCTGCCACTGTGGGTGGCGTGCTACTATTGAGAAACGAATCTTCACTCTTTTTGTTACTTCATAATCTTTTGTGACATTTGTGCTGCACATTCAAAAACGTATATCCACGTCGTCGGTGAATGGAGCTGAATCTCTCCATATAGGCCCAGCTCACCTCCGCCTATAATTTTTTTTCCCGTTAGAGTGCGAAATGTCGTTAAACCGCCTCTTTTTCGTGTTCCTCCTACAGGCTTTGTCCGGGCGCCTGCACGAAATTTTTCACCTAGCACCTGAGGACGGTCTGGCAAAAAAGCAATTTGAACATTTTCGAAATTTCAAAACAATAAGCACGCTAATAAAATTACACTTCCTGTGGAATTTTCATCTAAAAAGGTAGTGCACCATTTCTCCACATTGGTATGTCCGATTGACACCAAACTTGGGTGCATAGTTCCAGGTGTCTTCCTTAAGCATCGTGCACAATTTCAGGCCATCAGCACTAGGTGGCGCTCTTAAAATGAAGACGTTTATATCTCTACAACGGTATGTGTGATTAAGATGAAACTTGGTACGATGCTTCCCATGGCTCCCTGAGGCTCCTTAAAAGGACAAAAAATACGCCAATTAGTGGCGCTCTTTGGCATGAAAAATCACTGTAC